GGATACCTTAAATATACCACGAATACTCTTAGTTTATTTCTGTAAAACGGCTGAGAATGTTTAGGATTCAAATTTTATTTTTTTTCTCATGTATACTTAGTAATTTAAAAAAAAATTGGCAGCACACATAAGTGCCGCTGCGCTGTGGTTGAGAATCACTGCTGTAGTGTTTTACATCTTAATTTTGAAAACACAGCTCATTTTTTCATTCGTCTTATTTGTCTAAAATTTCTGAACACAGCCAGAATTATCATTGAGGGCAGGAGAAACAAATAAAAATGATAAAAAGAAATTTTTGTCACTCATTTCTTTCTTTTAAATTTCGAATTTTATTCTCACAGCCGGGTTTTCACGCACAAAACCTCCGAGAGGGACGTAAAATCCCAGGTGACGCGTCGAAGATTGTTAAATTGGAGACGGAAGAAACGAACTTCTTAAAAATGCAGAGGAAGAAGGACTGGCTTAATCTGGATTTTGTGGAAAGTTTTAAGACAGAGATTGTGGTGAAAGGTTGAAAAAAAATCACTTTTTAAAAATTTAAACGGCAATTATACAACAGCGAACAATGTATCTACGAAAACGTTATCTCCCAAAGGATGAGTACCCTTGAATTGCAATCCTATTAAATGGTCCGTGATCCCTCCAAGATAAAAATAAGATTGAAATGAATTGCCAGAAAACTAAAAAAGTACCGAGGATTCATGATCTCGTAATTAAAAACGAATTATAAAAAGCGCGTTTAGGGTTATTAAATACTTAACAGTGGGTATAACCTATAACTCTTTAAAATCCATTTGGATGGTAACAATAGCCTATAAGATGTGTAATCAATTTCTATAACGTTTATCCCGAGTTTTTCCTTATACAAAGTGTTGCATTTGCATTTTTCTTAAAGATATCCGTGATTTCCTGGAGGTCAGTTCTGTCCCATAGAGGGTGATCACGGTTTCTCTTGAGGAAGAAAGTTAATAAGAGTGAAAAATCGTGACAAAAATGTAATTCATATATTAAGTAAAACATGATCAATAATTTAAATAAAAAACCTACAATACTGTCAAATTACGTAAATTTTTAATACAAGAATCTAATTTTGTAACTCACGTGCCCGTAGTATCCACGTGTTTGCAGATGCGAAATCGAAGCTGGCGTTGTTGAGTCATTGCTTCGGGCCCTGGTGCCACAAAGAACTCACTTTTTTTAAAAGGGGTTAGCAACCTTTTACCTGTGGCGTGCCAAACCAATCTACCCATGGGATTCAGCGTGTCACACAGTAGGGAATGTTTGAAAGAATTCGATTCCCGTGATAATGCATGCTGAGAGTTAGAGAATAGAGGTTAATAATATAGATATATTTACACAGTTTTATTATATACTAACCGTTACCCCAACCCGCTTCACTGGGTATTTCACGATGTTGTGTGTGTGAATATATATACAGTCGACTCTCGATAATTCGAAGTTGGAGGGACCAATGAAAAACTTCGAATTATCAAGAGGGTAGAAAAAATTCCCATAATACACGAAGAGCAAAAGTTAATAGTCTTGTATTAAAAGAATACATTCAACACATTCATATACAATCTTATGCGAGTGAGAGAATATAAATGCCATCCTATTCAGCTACATGACGGCTTTTGGCGACGGACATCGTCATTTTGAACCATGGTCAAGTGACAAGTGACGAGTACGATACCTGAGTACATCTACCTGTTCTAACTTCTACACCCCACGAACGGGAGGACATTTGACCCTGACAGAAAAAGCACGCATCAGCCCCTTTGCGCGGTGGATCTGCAGCGGTAAAAGACTCGAATTCATGACACACCGGCCACGAATCCATAACCTTGACCACTAGGCTATCGCGGCCACTCCATTAAATGTGAAGAATGGAGAAAAAGTGTGATAAAGACCAAGCATGTCATTCACACGCAGTTGTAGAGTTGTTGTTTCAATGGATAATAATGTACTGTATCGGTGAAAGATATCAAAACAGAAAACAATAAATTTAAGGACTTTGCCCAGTCATAAATAATGAATAGATGTTTTTGAGAGAAATCAGTAGATTATCTTCTTAAACTGAAAAAAAAGGGCGCAAAATAACTCAACTCCGAAAGAGACAAATTGCGCTTCTTAGCAATTCGATGATAAAAATTACTAGTTTCAAAATTTTCCTTTCAAGTTTCAGTTCAATAAATCCTGCAACACTTTCCTCGAACGTTTAGATGATACATACCCGGAAAAATAAGAACTCGTGTAAAAAACAGTTGCAGTGCGTACTTTGTATTTCACTTAACTCGCAATTAATTATACATAATTATCTATTAAAACTTTCGAGAATTTGAATTTTTAAAATCTCACTCTAAAGTAAGAAATTATCGAGTAAATCCAATTATATTTCAGAAAATTCCTTATTTGATTTCTTGAAAACAACGAACTTATTTTCAATCCACTTTAAATTTACGAGTTGTCGTTAATTTGTAATTTAAAGCAGTGCATCCGATTTGTGTTAGAAGAAGCGAAATGAAGCGCTGCATAATTAGGAATTTAAAAATAAAGTCCCGTAATCCATGCTTACATACTTTAACAAATTATCCCGAATTAGATGCTTTCAAAACACCATTTGCAATGGCGGCAGCAGTTCGAAAACAATCTATTTCGTGCAACGCAGGAAAAATAAAAAGTCGTTCTTAATATTAGATTAAATCTTTTACCATCGACAGCTGTTTTACTCTCAATGTAAAGCGTTAAATCATTGCGGGAAAAAAAACACATTTCAAATTTTTCTTAGAATTGTTTTTCCTTTCAAGCAAATAATAACCATATGTTTGTAAGAAATATTTCTTTGTATAGGAATATATAAGTTAATTTTTTGAATAAAATTGAATAAACCAATCAGATAAATACGTAATCATGGCATTGAATATTCAGTAAACACATTATGACAAAGTTTGTATGATTTATAGACGATTTTATTCTTATACATCTACGCATTTAAAAAAACGGGCTCGATTCACGTGACGTCAGGGTCATGTGACACATACAATCAAAGTTTTCCCACCTAATCGGTTCGGGCGTCTTACTAATACCAGATTTTTCTTTTATTTTTACGGAATCTTTTTTTTTAAAACAAAATACATCGTTGTATGTTAACCATATTATAGCACATAAAAAAGTACAATCGATTTAAAAATACCATTATTATTTTTGATTTGGAAACTTTTTTTCGAGAATATAGTAACTGTAATTGTGCCTAACTGTGGTAGCTCAAACTGTGGGGTGCGCCGCCTTAGGAGCCATGATAACTCTACGAGGGGGGCGCAGGCATATTCATAAGTCAAAAACAATTTTAGAAAAATTATTAATTTACTGAAACAAAATACATTCTGACATAATAAAATATACAATACACATTTGTACTGATAGAATACACTTCTAAATGTATCAGTACTGCAAAATGTGTTTTATAATTAATTTAACAATATTAAGTTAAGAACGAGCTTAATAATTACCAGTGACCCCAAAGGCTTGTCCATATGTAAAATTATATACAAAATTAACACTTATATATACGGTTTAGAATTAAACCCTTAACTGCCGATTAAAAGTTACGCGATTCGCTCCCCAATGCCACCCTTTTTCACGTAGGTGAGCGTATGTGATGTATTGGGAGGGGATGAAAAGGAATAAATAAGTAAAACCTTCCCTGAAATATAAGTAAATCCTTCGCAAACACTGTCAAGATCCTTTTATTGCATTACAAAGCCTTCGGAATATTTTTATGGATAGCAGTGCACAGAGAAGATCGTACCTCGGAAAGACGTATTTATACGTCCGGGGCAATTAACGCTTTGGTTGAGGGAGACGTTTCTATACGCTGGTGGAACTTAAGAGGTTAAAGTCGTATTGCGCACCTTTATCGTCTAAGTATAGTATTATTGAGTTCAATACATTGTTTTTGTTGGGGAAGGGGAAGTGCGATGGAAATTATGATTGGATATTGTGTCACTAATATTGAAAGTTTGAGAAGCACTGGCATAATAAATAAATTTGAAATGTATACGCACAACAAGCTCAAGTATGAAACCAATAATGGTTCTCAGCGGAAAACAGGTCACTGTATTTGTCACGTCCTTCAAAAAAAAGATATATTTCATATTTCTTTAATGAATATACTTTACATGTAAATATATTATTTATCATGGAAACAAAGCTATCACTGAAAGAGCGGTCTTGGTCCATGCATCATAAAACACAAATTAACGTATTCATTTACATGACATCGGCAGCAAAAATATCAAAATGGAAAGTGTGATCACGCAATTAAAATTCTATTCTAATACGACAAGTGACGCAATTTCACGGAAATAGAGTGCCGGCGCAGAAATCCAAGAATAATCCAATGTCACTCACTGGAGACAATCGATTCATCAAGAGGACCCGAGACTCACGTGAAATAACTCGGTGGGAATGTACACGGAGTTTGCTCACCTCGTATCACGTGGCATGAGTGTTTCTGAACGGAGGTGTATTAAGCACGTGAGACTGGAGTCCATCTCTCACCGCATGTTATGCGCGAGATTAAAAAAAAAGAATGTTCAAAAATGAGTGAAATGAAGAAATTAAACACTGTTTGCATTTTTTTTTTATAATCATTTAACTACTGATGTGAAGATTGAAATCCTAAAAACGGAGAAAATCAATAATGACTCTAATAAGCCACAACCTTAAAAACAAGTAAGTCAATTCCTACTTAGGACAACAAAGAAAATTTTTATTTTAGTAACTTTTTATTAAACAATTTCAACTAATATAAATATGTATATACGTATGGCAGAATCACAATATTAAGCGGCAAAATAGAAAGCGATTTCCCTTGCAATTTTCCATTCTCCTTTCTATATAGGGTGTTGAACTATTTGTTTGTTTTATTCATTAATTAAATTTAATTATTCTAATAAAATAGTATTATTAAAGAGAAATCACATTCGCAGAAATTAGGCCATCCCAGCTGGGATTAAGTCCCACGACCTTTGGATTAGAAATTCAACGCGCTATCCATTGCGCAACAGGGACACCACGAGCGATATTGATTTTTATGTATGATGTTGGATTATTATTTTTATTTGTTACTATTAATTCCTAAATAAAAAAATATTAATGAATTAATATTCGAAAAAAAAACTGTATTAACATCAAATGTCAACAACTACAAGTTAAAGAAAATGTTTTTGAATTTGAGTGAAGGAATAAAAAGTATTTTAGTAACACGATTTGAAATTTGAGCAAGATTATATATATACATAGAAAAATATATTGTGAACTAATAGCAGGTCTTGGGGGAAAAAAGCCTTAATGATTTCGTGTCACTAAATGCAAGTTTATTGGGTTTTTTCTCAACAGAGAGTTGCGAAATCAGTTTCCACTGATAATCGGATTGAAGAGAGAATATGGGTGGTTTTATTAATGACGTATTTAGAAGCAACATTAGGGCATATGGCGACAGACTTCGTCCTTTTGAGCCCAATGAAACGACGAGGACAACACCTGAATTAGAAGCTCATTTCCTCTAAACACCAAAGCTACAGATTTAATGTGCAACAGCCCCAATACATGACGTGTCATAAGTGACAGTCGGTTTCAAGAATCCACGCCTTCACTACCAAAACACGTGACTTAACCACGTGCTCGCAACCATGACCCCTCGACTATCGCGATCATAATGGCGGCACACCGGATATCTTCTGATGTTAAATTTATGGATGTTTCGAGTTGAGGTAAGCTGAACAATTGTCTCCTGGAAGTCATGTGCAATCAGATTCGAATATAGAGTAGTAGGAAAAAGCAAGGTTGCAGTCAGTACCGATTCCTGTTCAAGATATTGAATCGAACAATGGTAGGTTTCTATATACTCAATTATTGGGTCAAAAGATGAAAAGAATGAGATATTAGCAAGATTATATCCGTTCTTCGCATGGGTGAATTGTTAAAATAAATCTACAATTCAGGGAGAAATCTTTGTGCAATATTCCTTTCATCAAACTGATTGAAAATTACAAACAAAAATCACACAGCATATAATCTCTAAGTTCTTCATACTGTAAGGGTGTAGCAAAACAACTTTTAGTGCACACAATTCGTGATAAATCCGCGTTACATTTTAAAAGAAAGAAATGGTATTTTAAAAACATACGGTGAGATTATACAATGCTTACAGGAAACACTAGTACAATCGACAAGGAACTACATAAGCATACAACTCCGTTTTCTAAAGAATAAACTATACATGTAGAGATAACGCACCTTGTGATTTTAATGTTAGAATATTGCGCAACATAATTTAAAATTTTATTAAAAAAATATTACTTTAGAAATCATGCATATAGGCTAAATTCATGTGAGTCACATCATGATGACAAACACGTTTTTCTAGCCATTTTGTTCATAAATTCATGTGACGTCATAATCATACAGTTATGCGCTTCCGTGTTGCCAACTTTTGCTCTTTGTAGAAACTTTCTTTTAAAAAGCACGTATTTGTCAACAATTATAACGTACATTATTCAGAAAAATATAATTTAAAAGTACACAAGTAAAATAATGCTTATATATTTAATTTTAAAACCTTTCTGTGATGAGTTTTTTATTCCATTAAATTTGAGCATTTTTACCTGATTATGAAATTTGTAATTTTATCTAAATTTTATGAATAGAACAACAAGCACGCGAGTTAGTTTTGAGCCCATTGTATAAACTGCTAAATTAATGCAAATCTGCTAATATGTTATAAAATTCCTATTCATGAAGTTATCTAAGCATGTAATGGGAACAACACACATAAAAACCTGAAATACCTAGATTGAATTTTAGTTTCTTTTCAAGTTTGTCTAAATATCATATATGTTGATTGTAGTAAAAGAATCATGTTTCATTCTGAAGAATGCACTTCCAAACAAAAGAGACGAAACTAACAAAAATAAATCTATTTTACAATTCAAATTTTTATTTTCCTTTGTGGAATTAAGACAAAGTAATATGGCAAGAATAATAAAATATCTTGGCAAATTTACTTTCAACACATAGCAACATTCTAAAAAATGAAAACGAATTTTTCTTTCTTCGATTTTTTCCCCTTCAAAGCAGACGATTTTTTTCTCGTGAAAAGCATGCATATTAAAGGATAATTATTCAAATTTATTGCTTTAATAAGGGTCTTTATCATAAAAGCCAAACTACTTTGACCTAGAACTACTTCATGTTGAAAATTAATTTTGAAGAATGCGATCTGTTAGAGAAAGTTTATAAAAACATCATCTCAAAAAACGTTTAGGCAAAAGCGACTCGCAAAAAAATGAATTAGGAACATTTTTAATTCCTTGTGTTTTACAAACTTTTATCACACAAAACGCCTAAAGAAAGATGAATAAAAAAAGAAAAAAGAAGAAACACAAATGGAAGTAAAGCGAAATATTCCTCTCTAGGATATGTTTTTCAACTGAAGTGAAGACATCTAATTTTTAAAAAAAAAATATATAAAATTTCACACTTCTAAGAAAAAAAAATTTGTGCTGCTAGTTCACACACACACACACACACACACACACCACACACACACACACACCACACACACACACACACACACACACACACACCACTTTTCTAATTATACGAGGGTAAAGTCAAAATAGGTAAAGTCATCGTTCATTTCATATGGGGGGGGGGAATTGTCTATGGAATATTCAAATCGCAAAAAAAAGAAGAAAATATTTTCCACCTATGAAAAATATGGAAATAATACAGAAATGGTGGAGGGAAATGGAAGGCAATAGAAATATATAACAGAAATTATATTTAGTGAAAGAGGATTTTACTTCTATGAGATTCAAATAACATAGCAAAAATAAGAAAAACTTTTTCCTGTGATTATTTTAAACTCATTCTAATATACACTCTTATAAACTCAATTTCATATTCCTGAAGAAAAAAATATTTCTAACGAAAAAAAAACGACTTCATATAAATATAAATCTATTTTTATTTTACACAACTATAACATTTTGAAGTTTATACAGTGGAACTAAGCATATCACAATTTAAAATCCTTCTTTTTGTAAACTGTATATATGCTGAGCTCTAAATTTTACAAGCTAGGTCAGTATCAATGAAAAATAATAAAAAGTAAACTAATTCATTAAAAATTTACGAAAGTATTTGCAAATAATTTTTAAATTAAAAAAAATTAGAACAATCTCATACTTTTGAATTATTTTCTTAAATAAGACTAGGGGGAAGGGTACATCCGGTCCGGCTAAAGGCGGAACAACCCCCGCTGAATAGATTATACAAATGTTCATACCAATTGCTCTAACTGTAAAACAGAATTTTCATACACTGCGTAGTTTTACTTTTTTATAAAAAATATATTGTTAGCAAAGAAAAAAAATTCAAGTCTTTTTTTCTGCATTTCAATAAATTATTCACAGCATCACAAAAACCTTTTATATATACAGAGAGAGAGCACATTCTGCTTTCTAATCTTTAAATTGTTGTGCCTAAGAAAAATAAAAATAAGTTGACAAAAGTTTGATCTTTGGGGGTAAGTTCTACGGTTTTACGACAGATGGCGCCATGTCAATATAAGTACAACACTGTGCTGAGAGAAATCCTTGTGGCGCCATCTATATTCAAATCACTAAACAACAAATATCTATCTGGAAAAAAAAAAGGACTGAAAAGAGAAATAAATACTAATTATTTTCGCATAAAAAAAGGTTTCAGACATTCTTTCTTCAAATGTATCAAACTAATTTGAAATCAGATCATTCTAAGAGGTTACAAATGAAGCGTTTCCTTTGAGAACTTAAGAAAGAGAAATTATTTTTTTGAGGAAGAAAAGTAAAAACAAAATAGTATATAAGTAAATAATTACACACAATCAAGTCCAGCAAAATATTAAAGAGCCACCATTATCAATAAGACTCATGAACACATTTGGACTCAGCAATCATGAAATTACTAAAAAGATTTAAATAGTATTTGATCATTTTTATATAATCTTTTTTTCTGACTTTGATTGTTTAGAATTTCAACATATGAAACGTTGTATTTTTTATTTATACTTATAGTTGTTAATACTCACCGATTGCTGATGGCAACGGTAACTGCATCGCTTTGTGGTCTAAGTATTGCAATTTGTCTGTTATGAAATACGAATACAATATTTGAAAACAAATGTCTTGTATGATAAAGATATTTAAGAAAACACTATACACACACAATTTAAATAAAAATTCTGAGTTCCTTTTTTTTTAAAAAAAAAATTACTTGTTAAACAAAATGTTTGCTCGAAACCCCACAATAAGCAAACCATTTAATTTAAAGAAAATTCAAAATTCATACAGTGATTTTAAAATGCTAATCCTCCCACAATGATTGACGTACATACGAAATATTTGATTTTTAAATATGTCGTAATATGTATGACACAAGTTGGTATGGGTTTTATGATAAAATAATTGAAATTCACAAAATAATTGCTTTATGAATGTTTATCTAAAATTCATTTTCGAAATATATAAAATCTAAGTATTGCTACAATTTAAGAAATCATACCACAATTTTATATATATATATATTAATAGCAATAGTTAGAAAAAATATCAAATCATTTGCCATAATAGAGAAAAAGCTTTAGAATTTCTAAATGAAGAAAAATTCGCTATTTCTTTGGTTCCGAGGTAAATTAAATAAAAGTCTTTATAATAGCAATCGGATATGAATAAAATGGAACATAAAAGTTATAATTCTGGATTTTTCAAACTTAAGTTCTCGAAATTGGTGAGATAAAAATTAAAGAATTATTATTTTTTCAAAAAATACTTTACGCTATAAAAACTTATATATTACGCAATGAATAATTTAGGACAAAAAAATTTAATTCCTTGACCTATTTTAGTCGATGGATTCGTTTCATCGGCAATAGATAAAAATATTCTTAACAGATTTTTAAGTCTAATCTTTATAACAATTTCGTAACCCAGTGGTGCAACAGCCCATAAGGGCCAAGGGCTACTGTG